CCACCCTAGTGCATGGCCCGCAGGTGCGCGTGCATCAGCGCACGGGGCATGAGTAGCGCGCGCATGCGCATATTGCGCACCTCTGCGCCATACGCGCGGTGCGCGCGCACCAGCCATGTGCGCATGGCGCAGCGCACAAATGCGCCGCAAGTATGGTCCGAACGCATCCAGTACTCAATGCTTTTAGTCCACTAACGCATGTGCGTCTGCAGGACTGTGACAGAAAAACCCTACCGGCCTCAGAAGTCTTACCTTTAGGTCTTAGTACCGTCCAAGTCCTGAACTTGTCCATCCAACTCCTTACCTTTTGCCCTCCTGCCCAGGACCCACCTCAAGACTTAAGCTCATCACATAGTTCTAGGAGGCTTACATCTCGAAGGCTTAGCTATTCGATAGTTGAGTTGCATTAGCATCTCGAAGACTTAGCAATTCAATAGATGAACTGCATTAGATTGCCACAAGCAGTTGCTCCCAAAGTTGTGGTGTGAATCTTCATGTCCCTGAGATGTGCTCTCTTTCATCTTCAAGAACAGGCGAGGTTCAGTAAGAGAGAGAGGCATCTTCAGACAAAGGGTATCACAAACGCATGACTCACAATCAGAAAAGGGGCATCACAAACACATGACTCACCAGCCAAGTTCATTTGATTAATATATAGACCCAATCTAAGTATGGCTTGAGTCACATGCTAATCGCATTTCACTGATGATTCAGCACATTTCTTGTTCTTAGAGGGGGGGGGGGAGGGGGGGGAACAACCGGGACCTTATGATCGCCTGAAAAGTCCCTGAATCCATAAGATTTCATATATGTGATGAACTCGTAGAAACATGGCCCATTGGTGGTATGCTGGTGCTTGGATAGCCTGAACTTGGACGTAAAATTCGCCAGGTTCGTTCTTGCGAACCAGTGAGGCCAGAGCCTCAGGAACAGGGCCCACTGGTGCTATACTGGTGCTAAATTAGCACAATTCTAGCCATTACATTGACTAGGTGAATTGTGATTTGACTATGCTAACACAAACATAGCACCACATCGATGCGTCTTTCCAGACATTTCCAATTCTGGTGTACTCTCCTCAGGGAAAGGTCCCACTGGCACTATGTTGGTGCCAAGTTTGCACTCATCGACCAGACGACTGGGTGTGTTCTGACTCGGCACAAACATCGCACCAATGGGGTCTGCCCTTCAGGCTCATGGAGTCGTGGACAACTCCCTGCAAGTTCTCTGAAAATACTCTGCAAGATTCCTTATGAAGTTCAGTGTGTTCTTCTGGAAGCATTCTTTAAGAACTGACATTGTGACATGCACTTTTCTGCATGTTGATGATCATTACCCGCATGATTTGACACTTGCGGTCAATTAGGTGATATCATACTTCACTTGGAGCATCTCCAATTATGCTGTGAATGTATTTCATCTGATGAGCCATGTTCCTTTCAAGGCATTGCTCTTTTTTATGGCAAGTCTTGAGGCTCATGGTGTGTCTGGTGAACGTGATTATGCACAAAATGGAAGCATTGGCTTCCCAAAGGTTCTATGAGGAGTCTTCACATGCTGATTGACTTGGGAATAACTGGAAGTCAATGTGACTGACTAGAATGAGGGTAACTCAAGCTGAGGGAGGGCAAGGACAGATAGAAGACGGGCAAGGCAGGGGGGTCACTTCCAAGGCGGGGCACATTTTGAAGTGGGTGAACAAGTTGGGGATGCATGCGGGATAACAAATTTTCCATACTAAATAATGAACTTGAAAGTGCACTCAGTACCTTTTGAGATAACAAACAGACCATGAGCAATGGGTTGGCGATCATGCAAAGGACGAGCAAAATGAGGAGGGCCCTTGGCGCTGTGTATTCTCGTTCCCAATGCGCAAGCCTTGCATGTGCAAAATGCAGAGTCACAGTTTTCCTCCTTCTTTTTCATCCTACCGTGTGCAGGTACCGTTCGTTCAATGACTGGATGGACATGGACGTCTCACCCACTGAGATTGAAATTCACCCGCGAACCCAACGCGAACCGAACTCCGAGAAAGAGAACAGCGGGTCCACAGTTCCAAACACCAACTCAAGGAAATTGGGGAAAGGAGAAGGAAATGACATCAACCAATATGCAAGACATGGCGTCAGAATAGGTCTGCATACATCAAGAGCTGAACGAAGTGTTCAGAGTCTTTAGACTCAGTGAGGAAAAATCATTATCCACAAGGCATTGACAGGCCGACAGGCTGCATACATGCTCATGAGTAAAGGGTAAGCATTCGATGCTCAGATTTGGGTTTCGATCACGGGTACTGCGGCATGCCTATACATAGCAGATAGACGTCGCGCAGGAATCAAGAATACACCCATGGAAAGAAACAACAGTATCATGCAGCGGAAGATTGAAAAACACAGATCTGAGTCATCAAGACTCACGACCAATGCACACATCCATCATCATAACCCAGACACACAGAGAGATGGGCATGGTGACACATACATGGAAGAGACTGTCGCCATGCCCCACACTCATGGTGAGAAAGAGCTCACAGACGAAAGAGATGGAGGATGGAGACGATGGGGGAAGAAGGGGGGAAGACTGCAACTCAATGTCCCCGCTAAAAGATAGTCACCACAATAGTCCCCAATAGTCTCCGTCCAGAATGCAGTGTCCGAGTCTGGAAAATAGTCACCAACTCTCTCTCTCTCTCTCTCTCTCTCTCTCTCTCTCTCTCTCTCTCTCTCTCTCTCTCTCTCTCTCCATCTATCTATCTCTCCTCCCCCCCTCCTGCCCCGCCCCCGAGCAAAGCTTTGAGCAGATTGTCTGTAATGGGATTCTGTTTGTGCTCCTGACTCTCTCTGCCTCCAGGGTCGTAATATAATATCAGATGCCCATCTTGCACAATTCATATGTCTCTGCCAATGCCCATCGGGCTGTCCCACTGTTCTTGATAAGAAGACACATAGCTGATACCACGAAATTTCTTATGTCTCTATGGGTTGACATGTCGGATTGGGGTCATTGACATGTCACAGTTGACAAACATCCCTGTCAAGAGACTCTCTCTCTCTCTCTCTCTCTCTCTCTCTCTCTCTCTCTCTCTCTCTCTCTCTCTTATTCTCTCTTTCTCTCTCTTTCTCTCTCTCTCTCTCCCACGCGCGCGCGTGCGCGCACAACGGCCAAGAGTCTCACTTTCTCTCTCGCGCAACGGCTCAGAGTCTCCTGAGCCCTTCTCCACTCAACGTGGCTCGTTGCCACCCGATCTGAAAATCTCACGGCCGTAGTTAAAAAAATTGGGCAGGTGCCCCTTTACAGTCCCCACAAGTCTATAAAAAAAAAAGTACCTCTACCAGGCGAAAAAACAACAACAACCGAGTTCGCTCTCAGCGTGAACTCCGTGAACTACGGGCGTTCACGTTTTCTGTGAACGGTGGCCGGCCTCCGTTTACAACCCCCGTGAACGGTGAACACGGTTACGACACTGATTTGAATTATTAGTTTTATTTTTTATATGATTTTTAATTCAAAATTGCTAAGGAATTTGGATGTAATGCTCAGGCAAATGTTGTTCGCTTTATTGTTTTTCATAACATATGTGTTTTTCAGATTGTTTTGAATTATTTTGATTTTTTGTTTTGTTTTGTTTTTTTCGAACCCCGTTTGGCCTGAACGTCCGAACGCATCCCAAGGGGTCCCGTGCGTTTGGGCATTCAGTCTCGGGCGTTCAGCCCGTCCCGAACCCCGGTTACCCTGTATATATATACACACACACACACACACACACACACACACAGAGAGAGAGAGAGAGAGAGAGNGTGTGTGTGTGTGTGTGTTGTGTGTGTGTGTGTGTGTGTGTGTCAACTCGCTCACACATAGGCTCTCCACACTGGGAGCCCTTAGTCATATCTACTACTATGGTGATCGCCCACCAAACCTGCCCTGGCCTGTTAAGCATCAGTGGCTCAACATGCACTTCATCTTCTCAAGACTGAAGACTTCACCCAGAGCCAAATCCAAAGTACGTTTCTTCGGCAACTTGCCAAACCGGATAGCAAGGGACTTGACCTCCTCTTCACATCCTGCCTCCTCGGGTCGCAGTGGGCCTCGCCCTGTATGGCTAACAACAAACACAAGACTGGGAGAAGGGGCTAGGGTTGCACTACACAACAAATCGCAAATCTGGATGTTCCGAACACAGGACACGACGCCTTGGGTTACCTGGCACATTTTGTCCTATTGTGCCACTAAGGGCCTGGTTAAACCCATATCTGTTATTAGGCTGCCAAGGTGATAGCTTGATGCAGCCTAGAGGGAGTTTGGGCTTCAGGTTAGTTGGTTTTGTACGTACGTCAGCTGACGCATAGTTGCTCTGTTTGCCTTTTTCCGGGAATGCCTGTTTGTGGTATGGCTGCCCGCAGCCAGAGCTTTTTTTTCTGTGTTAGGAGCACACTCAATGTTGGCGATAGTGAGCCCGTCCATTTCTTCAGGCTTCAGACTTGACCAGAGGGAGCTGCTGAGGCAGCAAAAGCACCCAAAGCTGGGATCTCGGGTCCATACCGCACACAAGGGTGAACCTAAGTGTGGGACACATTTTTGTCCACAGCAGCAAAATCAGGCAATTCTGACAAGATGAACGGTGGAAGGACTACCCAAGCCTCACTATACCAAGGGCTGGGTGAGGCAGACGACAAATTGAGCACTTAGCATTTGGATGCCGCCAGGATCCTGGGATAGGAGCAACCGTGCCGGCTAGAGTCGGGTGAAAGCGACCGACAGGGGAGAATAGGAGCTAGGGGAGAGGAGAGAGGTGGTTGTAGGCTTCCTGGAAGGATTCAAGGATATCAGAGGGCAGCCGGCCATAGCCACTTGCGGTACTTCAGCAGTGGAATGTACATTGGATCTCCATCACAGGCAAAAGCTTCAATCTCCGCCTGTCTGCTCAGTCCTTCTGGAGAGAGAAGGAGAGAGAGTGGTCTGGACTTTCTATTCTTGAAGGTAGAATGGAGCCTTCCCTGTCAAAGTTCAAGTTATTCATGTGTTTTGATGCCAGGATTTGAAGAAGATTTTGAGTTTGGCAGGGATTTCTGGGAATCTCTCTTTCTTCTACGCCTTCTTCTTCTCCACCTCCCCTTCATTTGTGTGTGGTATGGTTTGAGAGGCCCTTTTCTATGTGTGTAACTCTGCCCGGATCTTTCCTTGTGCGTGTGTTGATGCTCGTTGCCCGCATTGTCTGCTGAGACTGCTGTGCTTCCATCTCTGCCATCAGTGTGCATATTCGAGTCTTCCACGGTGTATTTCCACACTCTCCTATTACAGGATCCATCCTTGGCATTACTGTGCAATGAATTGCAGTGCTACAAGCGGGCTGTATACTAATTTTGTCCCTGTCGTCGTTGCCGGGATTTGATCCCGCAACCATGGTTGCTGTATTGCCTGTTTGTTTGTTGTTTGTGTGTTTTGAACGTTGCGGGACTTGATCCTGTGACCTGTAACCTGTGTGTTTTGTTTGTGAGTGTTGTGCCCTATGGGGCTTGATCCCTGCATCTGTCACTAGCAGTCTCCGCTTGGTAGTCCTAGGCCATTCGGCCTGTTTCTTTTGATTTGTCATAGGTCTAGGCCCCTCTTCCCCTGTTTCCATCTAGATACAGATAGGCCGTAGGTTGTTGCTTTGGGGAGGCCGTTGTAGGTCTAGGCGGAGAGTAGAAGTAGTGGGCAGGAAAATTAGTGCAGGTCTTTTGCATTTTCTTTGACTGGGGAAATTCTGCCCGTCCGTTGCTGGAGCGCTGCTGCGCTATTTTGGGCGAGGTCATTTCTTCTTCGAAGCCTAGCCATAGCTGGGGTTGGGTAAGGACGTTCAAGACTGCACTGCTGCTGTTTCTCAGCTTTGCATGAGAGCTTCCACAGGATTGTGTTGTTGGGTTTGGGCACTGCCACTTTCCACTTGGCAGTCATATCTGCTGTTCCTCCTCACGAGGAACTCCATCTTCTTCGAAGTGTTGGAATGGTTGTCTACTTCTTCATCAGGACTTCCAGCGCTGCACGTCCGTGCGGGTGCTGTTATCATCAGGGTTGCTGGTTCAGATTGGCACGTTGTGACAGTTGCGGGGTTACTGCTGCTACAGCAGCCATAGCCTGCGATACGAGGTGGCGAGGAGGAAGAAGAAGACTCCTGTAATGACCCGCCAAAAACAAAGACTGAGAACACTGCTGATTTCTGGGATTTGCCGCTGGAACGAATGCCTTGCTGAAATTCCCGCATTCTGCTGTGATTTCCATGTCTGTGTGTGTGCGTGCCCGCTGGTTTGCATGCCTGTCTGAGTGCTTGTCGGCAGACTGTGTGTGTGACCCACAAGGGTACTTGTTGGTTGAAGGGCCCCGCAGGGCCGGTACTTACCTGTGGCCGTGACTTTGAGGGTTGCAGGGGGGAAAACACCAACACTTAAAACAGCGGGGAAAAACACTCAAGTAGCAGGTAGGCCGGTACCACTCAAGAAGTGGTAGGGGTGCCGGGTACTGGAGGCCGAGCAGAAGAAGACAAAAAGTTGGCATTTTTAGAGGCCCAGTAGCGGTAGGATAGTGGTAGGCCGGTACCAGTCCAAGTAGCCCGG